CGGCACTTCACCTCCTTCATGGGTGACGACAGAGAGCATTTGCACAGCAAACTGTTCAGAGAGTGAAGGTACTGAAGCACAGAGGAACACCAACTGGATAAATACAATAGCTTGTGAACTGCAGTAGCCATGGTGAGAAGGAGGGCAGGGAACAATATAATATAGTGCTCTTCTGCTGCCTGCAGTACCAGGAGAGCAACCTCTTGGAGAGGCACATGTGAAAAATAAGAAATCTTCAACTTTCACAAACAAATCTAACAGGTTGCAATTGAGAATCTTTTATACAGGCATGTAGATTCATTGTCCATAAGCAACAACTGACACCTTCTAAAACTTTTCTGATCCTTTTAACTACCTCTCCTTTACTGCAGGCTGCTTGTAGAGCTAATCCAGCAAAAGCATCTGCAAAGAATGTAGGCTCTGAAATAGAGTCTCTAATGCATTTCCTTCAAAACACTGCCTTTCCTGAAAATATTGCAGAGAATGCACAGATTTAAAGCAGAAAAGTTGCACCCAGTTTCAGTAAAAATGAAGATAAAAAATTAAATTTGCACATAAAATATCTTTCTATTCCATTACAAAGGTGACTTTCTGTAAGAAAGATTTTATTAGTCAACGACATGCTAATTTAAAAATGTACAGATACATTTTATCTGGTTTAGACAATTTTCCTTTCCATACTCTTTTGTAAACTTCTCTGCAAACCATGATACAGCATCAGACTAGACAAAACCTTGAACAGAGGCACTCCACGGGCTCATTTACCTTACATCTATATCCAAGCCTTCTTCTTTACACTGCTTTATACCCTCAAGTACAGTTTCAACATACATCCTTTTGGTCATACCTACAAACACACGTACACATTTGGAATCAACATATGTGAATTAATTCATTTTTTTTTACACTGCAGACCCAGCTCTCTCGCCTCATTGCTCATTCTGCACCTTTGATTTTTCTCCACCTTTTTCTAATTCACGTAGTACTAATTAGCTTCCTTCTAAGCATCTCAGAGAAATAACATTATGAATCAGAATGTAGCAAAAGCAATTTTCTTATGTCTTTCTATTAAATAACATTAAAAGAAATGGAGTAATAAAAATAAAATGTATCAGCTACTGAGTAGGAATCAAATGTCCTACTAAAATCAGTAACTTAAATTCTTGGGTAACGGAATTATAACCAATGCATCTTTTTTTTCCTCAAAAATCTAACACTAAACAGTAAAACGATATTTTCACATCACTACATTTTACTTCTACATTTAAAGTATATTTTAGTTGATCCAATTGAATTTAACGTGCCTTGCTATTAACACAGTCTTAATTAAGCTTTAAAGAACATCAGACTTAGGAATTAACAACTAGGACAGACTATACCTGTGGAATTTTCTTCTCGAGGAGTGCTCCTTAATTCCAGATATTTGACACCATCATCAGCAAATTCTTTAACAACATCCTTAGTTATCTAGTTAAGAAATAGTGTATTCAACATCACTAAAATAATAGCTATAATGGCTTACACTCTCTTTTACAACTAAATGACACCCAATTATCTTTTGATGGAATGCTTAAAAGTTTTCGGGATGGATGCTTCCAGCACTTTGACCCTGGAAATACTCCCCCATGGAAGTGCCTTCATTTCCCATACAGATACTAGAGCAGGTTATGAGAAACAAGCATTTCCCTGTCTGAATGAGAAAACTCCTCACCTGGTGCATTTACAAACCCTTTCACAGCTCCTGTATCTTTCTGTAATTTAAAAGGCCACCTAAAAATCCTTATAGATAAGGAAAAGAGGATACTATATCACTTTATTCTCCCTATAGTGATCATACAACCATTCTTCTTGTTAATTTTGTAATCTGAGGCAAGCAAAAGACAATTCCAGTTCTGTAGCTCAAGTACATAAATGGGACAAGAAGAAACAAGAGACTACAATAAATTGAAGCTTTGCTACTGAGACATCATATTTTTAAGACACTATCAGTCCAAGTGTCTGAGTAGTAATAAGGACCACCATATTGGAACCTTGTTGCTTTAAAAAATATTAAATGGAAACATTATTTTAATCCTCTATTTCTAAATCAATGTGTTTTACACTAGTAACTTGAAGGGACCTTTGTCAATACCATTGTTATTCAGAATTCAACCAGCCAACCTTGACTTTGCATGTCACTTGCTTGTTTGGAACTATTTTAACCAACTTACCAGTAAAATATCTTCAGTCCTTGTTGTAATCTGATAGATGATCTGAAACATCTGAAAACATCTAAAATAAAAAGTCAGAAAATAAACACTGAACAGTAAATTGAGCATTCATATAAAATCTATACTGTGAAAACTTGTACTATGTTAATTAACCACCTTGTAGCTTAAAATGCACATGGGATTTTGTTTATAGGGCAACCAAGACCATCTTAAGGGCCACTTCTGATTTCAGAAGTAAGCACATTTGCAACAGAAATCATTAATGTCAACATGAGATTTCCATTTTCTTTCAAAATATTTAAGAAATGACTTCATAGGTACAACTAGAAAACAAAACCTAGAAGTTTTAACTAAGCTGAAATTTACATATATTTCTGCAGTCAGTATACAAAGTCATAATTAAGCTTGCAACTTAATTAAAAGGTACATAGTAAATGGTGATCTCACACGTTTACTCACTCATCTAAGGTTCTTTTCTTTCCTTTGTCAATCACAGTCATTCCATTCTGGATCTGAAGGTATGGTTTCTGCGCCATAAGTTTCTTCATAGTAGAAGAACTGATACAGCCATTCAAATGAGCATGAAGTTCCTAGGAGGCGGAAATACACTGTGGATGTTTAAGTGAGAAGGACAGCTTCTACATTTGCTTTTGTACTACCACTCACGTATCCTGCATTACTATTTCACTCCAAGATTACAAATAACAATTATCTCTGTTTGGCTAACAATCTCTGCCCATTAACAGCACACCAGCATTAATTGTGTTCCATCACTAGTGACCGATTTCTGCTTTTCTCATGGCAACCTGACTTACAGGTGCAAACCCATGCCTCTCAACTCTGTTCCTCACTCCATCTTTGCTCTGTTTTATGATCTCTTGGCTGCTGAGGTACGAAATAATTACCTAGAGCCCTCCAAACTCAATCAAAACACATGCACACAAGCTTTGCTACACAGAACCCCCCGGCATTCCACTCTTCTCAGAGATAGATTTAGTGAAGTATTTCATAAAGTTGCTAATTGGAAAAATATTGAAATCTTTTTCAATAATTTTTCAAATTCAATTTTTCAGTAACTTTTTCAAAAATTTGATTTTAATGTTATAACCTATTACATCTCAGATTGCTAAAGCACTACAGTTCCAGGCAGAGGAAAAGGGGTCTCATCACTTCAATCAGTGCACAACTCCAGCAGAACAGCTGGAGCTGCAGCTGCTCCCCACTTCGGGACATTGAACCAGGTGCACATTTCATGGTCTTCCAAGCAAAACACAGAGTTCAAACAGACATCAAACTTAAATCTAGACAGATGTATCTTATTGAAAAGGCACATCAGCACACACAGAGTGTGCAGTTTGATTTTGCTGTGCAAACTGTGTGGTGAGTACGTGCTGCTGGCTGTTTTGGAAGCCCAGAACTGTAACACCGATAAGATGCAGCTGCATGCACCCAGAGATAGCACAGATGCACTAAAACACACCCTTCAGAACATGAAGCACTGTTATCAGGGACAGACCTCAGGTCTTGAAGGTAGCTTCAGGGTAAACAGGGCAAAATAAAGAAAATAAAGGTCAAGCTCAACTGTTTTAAATGGAAGAACAGACTACAAAAGCTGCAAATAAAAGCTCCAGAGCCTTCACAGCTTCATTGCTCTTCCCTCTCAATGTCTTTCATGCAGTGAGGGCCCTATATATACCGAGCATAGTATTCAAGATGCAGCCTCACCAGAGCTGCATACAGAGGGACGATCACCTCCAGCTGCTGCTGGCTGCACTGTCTCCCATACAAGCCAGGATGCCATTGGCCCATTGGCCCTCTTGGCCACCTGGGCACACTGCTGGCTCACGCTCAGCCAGCTGTCAGCTAACACCTCCAGACCCTTTTCTGCCACACAGCTTCCCAGCCACTCTGCCAGCCTGCAGCAATGCACAGGGTTGCTGTGACTGAAGTGCAGGACCCGGCACTTGGTCTCGTTGAACATCATCCCGTCGCTCTCAGCACAGCGATCCAGCTTACCCAGATGGATTTGCAGGGTCTCCCGCCCTCAAGCAGATCGACGCGTCCTCCCGACGCGTCGCCATCTGCAAACTTACCGGGGGTGCAAATCAATCCCCTCACCCGGACCATTCATCAAGTCCGTGGGACAAAACCCGCCGCCCCGTGTCAGCCCCCGGCCCACCTCCCGGCGGGCAGGCAGGGCTCTGCCCCTCTCGAGGCCGCGCACGCAGCCGCCGCCCGGAGCCGCTCACCACTTTGGGCAGCTCCCGGTAGAAGCGCCGCTCCCGCTCCCGCTCCGCCGCCATGACGGCACTCTGTGGCACAGGCGGGGCGGGGCGGGGCCATAACGGCGCACCGCCCCGCAGGGCCCGCCGGGCGGAGAGTTCACGGAAAGCACAACCAACGAGAAACTCAAGTACCGCTCCAACATCAAGTTTATTGAGTGAAACAACCGTCCGACCACCGCCCCTCGGAGCTCCGGCTGACCGCAGGGGCGGCCAGGCTGCGGGCACACCGCCACGCCTCCGGCTCGGAGATCGACTTGCAGGATGGCTGGCTGGCACAGAACGAGATATTTCCACTCGTACACAGGTCAAACCCAACCGAAACAAAGCCATCCTGGAACTCAAAGGTACTGCGGTTATTTTGCATTTAGCTTTGAGCCTCAGAGCCATCTAATTGTAGCCCCATTTCTAAGTAACCGGTCAGAAGCAAAAGCTAGAGATGAATGCAATGAAGATCAGCAAGCACGGTGCCCTCAGGCAAATAAATTAACCTCCCGCAAGCGCGCAATGGAAAAAAAACATTATTGACATATATTGGTAATCAACCTTTCTCAGAAAAGCAGCACATCCATAAATGAAGGGAAATTAACTTCAATTTAGTGATCCACCCTTTTGTTTTACCTTATTTAAAGGCAAACTAAGTACAGATACTGTACGTTAAAATGTATCCACACAGAAAGAACAACTGTTCTTTATTCTATCTTAAGGGCACAGACTCCTACACGCTTCTATAGGGAGCCCTTTCCAAGCAATTACTCCTCTTGGAAATTACAACTACATTAAATATAAAGAGAGCCATCTGCAGGTCCCACGTAGCCCACGCCAATTAGCAGCACATCAATCAGTGTCCAAATTCCAAGTCCACCAAAGCTGAAGAGTTTTCCCAGACCTTCCCTCCACTGGCCCAGATAGAAACGATCTGCTCCAAATCCACCCAGGGTGATGCTGTGCGAATGAAAACAATTCATTACTTCTGTGTTATGTTATAGTTACATTTATAGCACCCGGAGACTCGACAGTTTTTCCATTCATGGCAAGCAATGAAAACGAAACTTCTCTACTTTTCTAACTTTGTAGAAGCTTGAAAATAGGCTATAAAAACAGCACACTCATCCCTACACAAGAGCCAACTTCTTCAGCTGGTAGCAGGAATGACTCCTGCTGTGAAGGCAACTGTGTTACGTTATGTCCTTAATCACAGTCTTATGTATTTGTCTTGGAGAATATGGATTCTTGCTACATAATTCATCATTTTTGAAACTCTAAAACTTACTGGAAAATGTCCAAAAAAACCCCCCAAAAAACACCAAAAGAACTGCCTGTGCTTTCAAATCATTGTTGCAGTTCTCTAATGGCTTAATGTGTCAAAAGCTACCAAAATAGTTTATTTCAAAACTGCTATGCAGCTTTCTACCTTAATAATTTTAAAATTAAAGAATCTTTCCTTTTAAAGCATTTCCAGCTATAACACTTGGAAAAGAAGCCTTAAAAAGTGTAAACTATCTACACAATGATCAGTGATACCCATCAAATTCAGAAATAGCTACATTCAAGATGCATTCAATTTGGATGATTTTCAGCCTTAATTGCTTTAAGCATATTATAAAGGGGGAGAAAAGAATCTGAAGTCCACAGAATTATTTCAGCATTCTCATCTGTTACTTCAGTACCTCATTACATTATTTCAGTAGCTCATCTGTCACCATACAGAATACAGAAAGCATGTCCCCTCTACTCTACTTTACTCTAAAGAAAGCACATCCAATGCAGAAATAGGGTAAAGGTTTTCTTTCAAGCTCTATTGAAGACAGCTAATACAAAATCTTCAGTCATCATATGCCTCCAAGTTCTAAATTCTAAACCATTATCAACTACCCACTGCACTGAACAATGTGGAACAAAGATTTTATACATGATACGTTCGCACTAATTCATGTCAGCTTAAGTTCTGCTAATAGCTCTTGTGTACCTTAGTGCCAGGGCAGTAGACCACTTATAACCTCCAGTCCAGTTGCAATACAGCATCTTTGGAAAGACTCTGTTACCTGAATGTTAGAAAAGGTTTGAACCTTAATGCAACTGACAAAAAAAAAAGATCACATAATAAGCAAGAAAATGACATATGAAGCCACACTCACTGTATTCCTCTAACAAGGCACTAAAAGGGTTGGCAGTGATTGAAACAGGAATTTTTGAGAAAATCTTACATTTTACAGTCCTCTGTAGACAATCAAACTTTGTCTCACATCAGAAAACATGAACGGTAAATGAACAAATAAACAGGGAAAAATTAAACTAGTGGGGTGACACCAGTGTGACTTTTTCCACTATCCCGAGACGTTTGAAATTGATTCTATTAATGTTGTGCAAAGTAGTTTAAGTCATAAAAGTTAACAAAAAGAAAGACCAATTTTCCCTCACATGAAAGGTATACAACAGTCCTGAAAAACAATGTTTGCAGTTAGCTATCACTTTTATAAACAAAAATTAAAACGCAACTGTAAAAAAAAAAAATCGAATAGATTGATCAAGGTGCAGATTGTTACTGTAATCAACATAATCACTGTGCTGACTCAACATTAAAACGCCATTTAGAAAAATTCTTCACAAAATCCCTGGTACAGCACTTTACCCAGACAGTGGATGTGGTCCCGCACTGTGCAAGTGGCATTGTATCGCTGCCGGGGACAGGAAACCGTCATGCAGTTTGTAGAATTGGTGCACACGTAGTCAGTTGTTGGAAGCTGCCAGCAAAACTGGCACGTCATGTTAATTGTAAAGTTCTCCTGCTCGTGGTTATTCTGATCCTACAGAAGGACAGCATTACCACTTCATTAGCAATCAAGAAACGGTCAGCTTTCAGTATCAAACTGCATCTCATAGACAGAAATGTTGGGCAAAATGTCAGTTGCTCTTTGTTACCTCCATATCCAGTAGAAAAATCAACATGATAAAAGTGACAAAGGTATTAAAACACAGTTTTAGTACTACTGCTTCCTCTAATCCAAATGAGGCTGCTGCCAAACTGACTGTTCTTACTCATTCGGTTTCAACCTCTGACAGACATTAGCCTCCCCATTCTCAAACTGGTTCAGTTCTTGTTGGTCAGCATGCCAATTAAACACAATCGATCAGTGGCTGCATGACAACAAGATCCAAAGCAAGAAAGGCAAGCAGAGAAGAGTAGGTCTGACTCTACCAACTGCCTGCAGCTCAATCACAAAAAACTGATAACCTGCCTATGATAACCTAACAAACTGCATATGTAAGAAGTTTTTAAAAAGATACAGATATTTTACGACAAGATGTCACAGTAATTAAATTACTCAAAATTAGTTTTAAAAATAGGTTACTTACAACACAATGAACATGCGGTTTGACTCTGCAATCAAAAGTGGCTGGCTTCCCATATATGCAGGAATAATTTGTGTTACATATCATGCAGTCTGGTGGCAACCTACTGCAAAGTCCATTGCTTGGACACTTAGTCACATAAGCTGGAATTTCTGTACTTTCTGAAAGATGAAATATGTAAATGAAATTATAAAAAAAATTCGAATTTAAAAAAGCAATCTAGTCTGAAGCATGCATATTCAAATACATACACGTGTATTGATACCATATAAAGGACTTCCCTTAATTTGCAACGTGCGGAATCTATACTATATGACATAGCAGAGCAACTTGCAAGGATCTTGAGAAGTTCTGCACTGGACAGCACAGCCCAGCACAACAACACTCAGCATGGACCTTCTCACAGACATGTATTGTTCACGTGTTCAGAATCACCTCTTAATTTACTCCCTGTCTGAAACATTTACCTCTGCGTACCCTCAAGGATGTGCAAAAGCTGTGTTTAATTGCACTGGGAGCAGTAACAACTTCTTGCAGAACTCTGAAGTCTCTCCAGAATTTCCACCATCCATCATAGGCATAAAACACATGAACTACAATGCCAATTTAACTTTAAGATTTTATATGAACGAGTTTTCTAACTGTATAACGCAAATCATTTCTTATGGTTATTGAAGAGTAATTCTTGATATGATGCTCCACAACTTCTCTAAAAGAACACAGAAGTTTCTAAGACAGAACTGAAGAGCTTTACTGGTAACCTCAATACTCGGAGGAGAAAACCCACAGGGCTACAACACAGGGAACAGCAACACACTGTACCTGCTGCCCTGAAGTAGGGAGCATCTGTGCTTGTTGAAGTCAGGCTTTTTGCAAACGTGGACTGTGGCTGTGAATGCTTCGTGGCCATCAAAGATCCTGCTGTGAGGGGAAGGAAAAAAAAAGAGAAAGTGGTATTTTTAGAATAAAGTGCACCAGGAACAGTTTGATTTCAGCACATTGGTTAAAAGAAAAAAAACATGGAAAGTGCAATAATAATAAAAATATGTCAGGTTTCCCATTTTATAAATAATAAGATGTAAACATTAAATATCAAAGACGAGCAGAAGTGATTTACACCTTTCAGACAACCCACGCTGATGTTCCAGCTCAGCCTTGTTTTCTCACCGCTCATTTCCCGCCGCGTTCACACCGCGCACTGCAGCCGCTCCTCACGCGGAGCTGCAGCACGGGGCCGCGCCCGGGCAACGGTGCCGCCCGGCGGGCGTCAGGGGGCACCGCTCCACCGCCCACCTCCAGGCCGCGCGTCTGAGGTCAGCCCCGCCAGCAGCCCCGGCCCCGCCCGACCACCCCGAGAGCGGCAGCCGCCGCGCTGAGGCTCCGCCAGGCCCGCCCTGCCCGTCCCCACCGCCCTCCCCAGCCCGGCCGGGGCACCGCGCTCACCGCGGCCGGAGAGGACGTAGAGCTGCGACACGAAGAGCGCGACGCCGCAGAGCCGCCGCAACGCGCTTCGCCCTGCCGGCGCCGCCATCTTGTCTGCCGCCGCCTCACGGCCGGCGCCTGCCCGGAGAGGGGCGGAGCGCGCCCGCCCGCAGGCGGTGCTCGGGGCCGAACCCTGCAGAGCGGTTCTGCTTCCCTCCCGCCTTTCCTCAGCGCCTGTGTCCTTCACGTGCTTCTCCCCGCATAGAGTTAGAGCATGTCCTGCAGGTCCTCTAAACTGCCACGGCTACAGCACGGATACACGTGTTAAAGCCCGGTACTGGAAAGGGCGGGAAGCTCATCTTAAACTACTGCCCCTCAGTGCTGGAGCCCGAACACATCACGGGTCATGGAAGGTGAATGTAGCCCACACAAAACAAAACTTTCACAGATAAGAATATATGCTTAAAAATAGAAAAAAGTTACCCCAATCATCTGACATTAATTCCGTAAAGCTGAACAGAAAGCTTTCCCCATCCTCCTTCCTACAGTTCACTTTTCTTTTTTCTGTGGGTGTCAATCAGTGAAAGCTGGGTCACAAGCCAACTAGCACGGCACAAAGCACGGGGCCATGGAACACAGGCTGTAGGCAGGGGGAAGCACTGGCGTGCTTGCAATAACATCTGTGTCAAAGAGCACTTCCAACTCGTGGCTGTATGTTTACAAAGGTTGACAGAGCACATAATAGTGGAAAAAATACTCGTGGTTAAAAATCACATATCAAAAACATTGATTAAATGCCCTGCAGAATTAACTTTAAAAATAATTTATAAGCATAAACAATCAGATCAGGGAAGTAGAACCAATTTGTATTCCAACACACTTGAAACAAAAAAATGAAGATTACATCACCCAGTTTCAGCACACAGTATCCCAAGCAACCACAGCAATAAATCACATGCCCATTTCTTTGAAAGGCAAATTGAGTGGGATTTTTTTTGATTGTTTTCAAAGAACCAAGTCAACAACAAACAGGCAGAAATAAAACACTTCCCACACACGGATATGGCGGTTAATTCAACTTCATTCTTGGTAATCGCCTTTACAGCAAGCAGTTACCGAAGGCATGGGCTCATTCAGTACCTTGTTACATTGTGATTTCCAACAGATACCATTTATTTATCACTTGTGAGCAGAAATTCATGAAAGAACAGGCTACTCCCTTACTCCAATATCTGATACATATTTGACAATTCAGAGTTAGAAAAAAGCAAAACCCAAGAGCCAAGCTCTGGATTCCAGGCCATGTCAGTTCTGCAGCTGCTGTGTGACTGAGGTAGTTCAGCAGCTGCAGTCAGCACATTTCCCAGCCTTCTGCTCCTTCAGATAGTACAGCACTACCTATTTACACAGTAAAACTGACATATTTCAGCAGAAGTGTAGGATGCCTGACAAAAAGGGTTCTGCAACCAGCACTGAGCAGAGTCCCACAGGACAGTTAAAGGAGTCACCCACTGCAGTTGTTTTCTCATGCTATTCTTGTAGAATCAACACTGCTACCTTTGCTCGGCTTGTGTGTCCATGCTTCAAATTCTTTCAGATGAGCATTACTGCTATGGAGAAGGAAAGCAACACCATTTCACACGGGCAGTTCATATCTGTAGTTTTTGTCCTTAGTAGCAACATCAGAATTCTTCTTCTGCATTTGGAAGACGCAAACTCTTAAATTTCTTGAGTTTCTCAATTGCAGAAGATACCGAAATTTCTCCATGAACTTTGTTGTCTCTTGTTCTCACATTGACAGCATGATTTGCTTTCTCCTTTTCACCAACCACTGCAAGATATATCACAAACAATATTAAACTACCTACATTATTAAGTGAGTCTAGACGAACCATCCGCAACATCAGAACTTAAATGACATGCAGAAAGACCCTACAGTTACCTAAGATAAAGTTATATTGAGCCAGTTGTGCATTTCTGATTTTCTTGTTGAGTGTGCAGCTCTGATCCAAATCCACATCTGACATAAATCCTGCTTCAAAAAACTCAGTGCAAACCTAAAAAAAGATGTTTACTATTACAGCATATACTTTACGAGATTCCATCCAATAAATAGTTTATAAATATAAATAATTTAGCTCTTATGAACAGCTGTATTAGTGAAATCAATAAAATTATTCGAAGAAAACTGCACACACCCTTAAAAGCTTGACAGGACCTTAGTGCTTAGCAATTCCTTGTTAGAAGAAATAGAAGTTAACATCCGTATCAAACATTTGCTGATCCTCTCAGACAGCTACACTGCTGAATGCCAAAATGCCTCAGCCACAGAAAGAAGAAAAGGAAGAGAACCATTTATGTTTGCATTAAAAGGGGGTGAGAGTTGGTAAGAACTTTGCCTATATCCTAGAAAGCGGAAGAAACCAAGTCTACCCCTACACTTTAAGGGGATAATTCTACAGCGAAACATTTATTAGTATGTAAGGTAAGTAGCTCAGAACATTTTTCCTGTAATTATTACTGAAGTTTTTAGATGGTAACAAAACGCCAAATATTTTGTTATATTTCCCTTTCTCAGGCTTACACAATTTTAGAGGGCATGGAAAAAAATGACTTGACCCAAAAGCGTCTCCTGTATTATTAAAGCATTTACTGCTCGCTCAAGGATGAGTATTTCAGGAGCTACTAAAATTGCTCGCTGCATAAAGCTGTATTCTCACCTGCCGTGCATACTCTTCAGAAGTAGGTCCCACAGGCACAACCATCACCTGCCGTGGAGACAGCCAGAATGGCCTGGCAAACCCAGTAAGAAGAAAAGATAAATGAGCACTCTACCTTTTCATTCATATCCACAGAATTGTAAGCTAAGAATGTTGCATGTTGCCTTTACACTTTTCAATTCACATAAAATATCAATCAGACTGAGTCCAATAAAATGGCATGCACAGAACTTAGATCTTCTGTTTGCTTCCTATCAATTTCACAGATTTAAATAGAATTTCTTCACATAATTTCTGCTTTCATTTGTTATATAACTTGATAGTACTAGGTGAGTAGTCTCTGCATGTAAAGGTGAGAATTCACTCTTCCTTAATCCTTTAATCTATTAAAGAAGAAATCTCTTCAGAGCTAACTAGAGATGAAATAGAACAACTTACAAATAAAAAAAAAATAATCACATATCTGGGCTAATTTATGCCTGTGTAAGCATCTACTTTATGTATATTAAGCATCTTCCAATAAAAAGGAAGAAGTAAAATGCAGCACACACACATTCAGTTGCAATTCGTATCTCACAGAATTTTTAACCGTGAGCTATCAGTAGAACACACAACTGGAACTGCAAAACTAGATTTCATTTCATCTCACCTGCTGTTAAGAAAACCCTAGAGAAATCATTTTGTAAGCTGATGTATGAGACATCAGGGAGGACCTATACTTCCTAACCACGTTGTTAAACATTTCTCAGAATTGTATTTGTGTCACATACCATTTTCCTCCATAATTTTCTGCTAGAATAGCTATCATTCTCTCCACAGATCCCAGAACAGCTCTGTGAATAATCACTGGCCTCTTTTTATCATCTCCATCTTTGCTGAAAAAGACAATAATTTCAAAACCACACTTCTCCTAGATCACATACATGCAATCCTACTAATTTTTTTGATTTTACTTATCACAGTAAAAGAACAGTAATTTATACTAAGCAAGAATTGCCACTTGCTACTAAAAACCTACTTCAGAATGAATCATGCTTTTAAAGGAATGCAGAGTAATCAGAATGACTGTGACATAGACACAAGTTCTTAAGCTTTAAAAAGCACACTCTACAATTTGACTCCAAAACTGACAGCTCCTTGTCTCTGTATTTTAATATTTTATATCATTCCTCTCTTTTCCACTACGACTCGAACTCGTCTTCTTGCACAGGATTTTATCTGCCTTCATTATTCATTTCTTTTTTTAAGATACACATCTCTGGTTATGGAAAAAAAAAAAAAAAGGCCAGCTGCTGTTTCTAATCTTATTTTCTACTGAAGAGTTATGATGTCTACTGAAGAATATGCAGCAGAACCAAAAATAACCAACACCTCCCTCAAACTTTTTGTATTATATAAAAATAAACATCGTAATAAAAACAACTCAGAAGACATGGTTCTAAAATTAACACACTCAGATGATAAAACCTCTCTTCTTAGCTGGAAGTCTAAGTGACATTTTCCTCAAAAAACTATCTGCATTCGCTTTATGTTCTTCAAGGTCACCTAATTCTATCCAACAAAAAGAGCAAAGCATTTCCTACTGCAAACATACCATCTCCTCAATGGATGTTTGAATACGAACGCAATGTCAACACGATGACTAGACTAAAATTAAGAACTGACTTAATTTTATCAGTTGCTTACCAGTTTTCTCAAGACAAATAGACAGGTCACCAAGTTTTCCTACAAACAATGGCATGTGCAATTAAAGTGAGCTATCGTCATACTGACAAAATACCTTCAAGTTCTGGACTGAGTCCTCCACTCTCCAGAGATGTTTTCCTTCATAACCCATTGCAGGCTACTTAGATGCAAACTAATAATTTGCTAAGTGAGCAACAGAGCATTTATCTAGCTCAGTTTATGGAAATTGCAGATAAGTATTCTATTTGTTCTAGTTAGAAGAGGAAGATAAGTATTTTAATCACTCACCCAACGTAAGTAAGATTAAATCGAATGGGTAGCTGGAAATCAAGTTGGATAGTAGCACACTGATGGTATCTGCCAAGAGCATCTTTGATCTTAATATCAATCTGTGAATCATAGAATGGCCTGGGTTGAAAAGGACCACAATGACCATCGGTTTCAACTCCCCTGCTGTGTGCAGGGTCACCAACCCACCAGACCAGGCTGCCCAGAGCCACATCCAGCCTGGCCTTGAATGCCTCCAGGGATGGGGCATCCACAGCCTCCTTGGGCAACCTGTTCCAGTGCTTCACCACCCTCTGGGTGAAAAACTTCCTCCTTATATCTAACCTAAACCTCCCCTGTCTCAGTGTAAAACCATTTCCCCTTGTCCTATCACTATCCACCCTGTTCCCCCTCCTGTTTATAAGCTCCCTTCAAGTACTGG